CCCAAGAAGACTTTCCACATCAAGCAGATGTTCACCTGCACATCTGCTAATGTGGTATACTGTATCCGCTGTTCCAGATGTGGCCGCCTCTACATCGGGGAAACCAATTGGAGGCTTGGAACCGCTTTGTGGAACACCTACGCTTGGTTCATGACAAACGACTGCACCTCCCAGTCACGAACACTTCATCTCCCCCTCCCACTCCTTAGACGACATGTCCATCCTGGGCCTCCTCCAGTGCCACAACGATGCCACCCGAAGGTTGCAGGAACAGCAACTCGTATTCTGCTTGGGAACCCTGCAGCCCAATGGTATCAATGTGGACTTCACAAGCTTCAAAATCTCCCTGACCCCAACCGCATCCCAAAACATTCCAGCTCGTCCCTGCCTCCCTCCCACTTATCCCCTCCTACCAGCCTCATCCCCGCCCCCTTGATTTGTCAGTCCTCCCTGGACTGATCTATCCCATCCCTAACTCCCCACCTACACTCACCTTCACCATCCCCGCCTCTTTGACCTGTCCATCTCTCCACCTATCTACTCCTCTATCCATCTTCCATCCGCCTCCCCCTCTCTATTTATTTCAGAATCCCCTTCCCATCCCCCATTTCTCAACAGACCCAAAACGTCAGCTTTCCTGCTCCTCTGATGCTGCTTGGCCTGCTGGGTTCATCCAGCTCTACACCTTGTTATGTCAGATTCTCCAGCGTCGGCAGTTCCTACTATCCCCAACAAGAGGCCCTGTTTGGTATATTTACAACATAAAAAGAACCAGAGAGCTTCGTATTTTGAGGGATTATCAGATGGCTTTTAGAAAAGGAGCAAGGGAGGGATTAATTTCTTGATTACTGACAGAGAGAGAGTTGACACTTGGATCAATGACTACAAAAGGCACAGAGGGATTGCGAAGAGAATGTGTTTGTGATGGAGCTGCAGCATACCCACTCCCGCTCAGCTCGGAAAGATGACAAAGCCCCAAACCATACAATCAAAACCTAAATGCCTGTCTGTAGGCAGAGTGGTGACAAAAGCAGCATGCCTACAGTCACCTCTTCGCTTCATTCCAAACGGCATGAAGTCAGTCAATACCAACATTCTGGTAACTATAGGCCACAAGAAGAACTAGATATTAAAGAAACCGAAAATTAACTTTACTGAAGTCAAGAAGTAAATTTAACAAGAACACCTCCCCCACACCAGCTTAGCCCACAAAATGTACAAATTAAATTATGAGCATGAATTTACATTGTATTTGTTAGTTATTTTACTTTGCAAGTTATTTTTGCTAGGATTGCACAGTGCTACACATGTACAATACAGTATTTGAGTTTGTACATTAGTTTCTCTGGGCAAGAAAATGTCCCATGGAACCAAACTCTGGCTTTAACATGGGCCCCTATGGAAACCCATGATTCACTTAAAATCATTTAACTTAAAGTACCAATTCTCAGGAATACAGCCACAGTACTAAATGAGAACCATCTATATGTGGAAATATTTGCAGTGGGACTTGAAATTCATGAACTTCCAATCCAATTCAGAGATGAAAATTATTCACTCAACCATAGCTGACAGCAATATATACACCATCGGTTCCCTCTTGAATCATACGAAATTACTGTTAGAGGAACTAAAACCATTTTTAAATGCAACCATAGCATACAATACATAACCACACAAGTATCATGAGACACCCAGCCTAGCACTGCAGAGGTCAATCCGAAGCAAAGCCGAAATTAAATGTGTGAGAGAGAGAGAGAGCACGAGCGCTCCTTACCTAGGGTGTCCACAATCAGGTCAAGTTGTCCATTATAAACTGTGACATTCACATCGGCAAGAAGCAGCTTATCAATGATGTCGATTACTGGCCTCATGAAATCGCCTTCCATATTGGAGAAAACTTCATTAGACTGACCTGCGTGGTTTCAGACAAGACACTGGTTAAGTATAGCTTGTTCTAAAGAGAGCAAACCAGAAGCAGCATATGTACTTTACTCAGATATGATTCACAGTACTGGGTGGGTCATGGGGCAGTAGCGGGAGCAGCAAGGACACAGGAACGCAATAAGGGGGTGAACAGGGAAAAGTCACAGATGAATTCTTATATTGAACCCTTCCCTCTACCTCCTCCTCCTCTCCCGTTCCCCCCAGACAGTACCTCCCCACTTCACAAAGTCTGGGATGATTTTCAGCTTCTTTCTGATAGGCCCATTCATCAGCCAGTCTAGGCTGGTACTTTGCAGGGGGACGATGTGGCGATTGTAAAGACTGACTGCAAAAATACAAGTGAGACAGTAAGTATGAGACAGAGAGCCACAGACAGCCTGGGAGCATTTGATAAAACAAAACAACTGTTCATAGCACTTCGAGACAGGAGGACTGCAGATGCTGGTAGCTAGAGTTAATAAACATGGAGCTGAAAAAGCATAGCAGGTCAGACATCCAAGGAGCAGGGAAGAAGGATTTTGGGATGAAACATGGACTTTCCTGCTCCTTGGATGCTGTCTGACCAGCTGTGCTTTTCCAGCTCCACATTTATTGACTCTGCTCATAGCACTTCGTTCTTTCATGAGTTTACTTTGCTTGAATAATCAAGGCGCCAGATGAATCTAAGCATCAGTTCACACAGCACCATCAGTCCAAAGCCTCTCAAAAACATTTAGTCATTTCTATTTCTGAAGATCAACACAGCAACAATTTTCATCCTCCGACAGTTAAATGTTGCCTCATCGCAAGGTTAAAAAAAGTTCACCACTCAAAAAAAATCTGGATCAATTATCAATGAGGCCTATAGCCCTCCTCTGGTGCTGACTCTCTGACAGCATCCCGCTCCCTCAGTGCTGACCCTCAAATCAGAGATTTCTCTCCATGACACCCCACAGTGTCATCCTAAGTCACGTTCTATGTCACAGAAAATAATGTCCCACAAACCGCTCACCTAGTTGGGAGTTCCTCATCAGTGGCACGATTTGAGGAGAGTTGGAGTCTGTCTGTTTGGTCATTATGTTGTAAAAGTTCACTCCATCTGTATTCTATTACAGAAGCAGCCAAATGTTATACACAGTAATTACTGGCACGACTATGTCACTACTGTCCTGGGGTTGTGTGGGGCAGGGTCCATGTGCGTGCATACGTGGGGTGTGAGAGAGCGCTCTTGTGACGCAATTGGGAGAAAGTGCATTGATAATTGTACCCCACTGTTTGACATGCCATCCCAAATGTATCAACTCCCAAGGAGATGATTAATTTTCCTGACTGCGATTCAGGACAAAAACAATTCACAGTAGGTTTCGTCAGGAACAGAAAAGAAGCAATTGATTGGGGTGTGGCCTGTTTCCTTTGAGTAGAATCTCAGTGTTCAACCCCCGAAGAAAACGTGTCCAGACCTCAAATAATTATCCCAGAAAACCCACCAGGATCAGTGCTTGGGAGGTGGGGTGGGGACATTGGCTGTGAAACAGTATGCCTGTGAGAGAGAGAGAGAGAGAGAGAGTGTGAGTGAGTATGTGTGTCTGTGCCTGTGTGCATGTGTATGTGTGTTTGTATGCATGGCTGAGAGAGACAGTGTGCACGTAAGCACGTGTGTGTGTACATGAGCGAGTGCGTGTGCGCAAGAGAGTGGTGTATATACAAGTAGAGTTGAGCAACACACATGTACAATTCAGTTTGGGATCTCAGTGGATTCCTCTGGCCAGCTAACGGCAGATCCCTAGCAGAGTAGACACTTGTAACAGAAAGATCTCTCCCTCAGATACTCACTTGCTCAACAACTCTCTCTGTTACAGACCAGAGTTCAGTCGCGTGCTGAAAATCGCCAGCTTCAATCGCTGCCTGCACTCTCTCAGCATAAGAATTGACCTCAGCCAACCCCTGGTCATCAAGCAGAGACTGGAAAACACACATACATCTGAGTTTAAATACTACACACAGAGTGAAAACTTCCGGAGGACAAAGCTATATACTTACAATGCTGTACAGGTAGGGCCCCCACGACAGGACGGAATCTATAGAAACAAGGAAGTGTTTTCAGGTGATCAACATAACAGCACAATTCTGGCCACATACAAACGCATCCATCATCGAAACCCCCTGTGAAGATCCAAATACACAGCTTTTTCCTCAGGTAAGGAGCCATTCTTTGATCTGTGCTTAATGTTAAAACTATATTTTAAAACATACTTTTTAATAAAAAGCTGTTGCAATTAATGCTTTAATACTGGCACCAGCACACATCACCCGTTCCAACCCTCTCATTCCCCACAGTACAGTCCCTCTCCCATTCAATGGAAAGCTGAGAGAAGCCGTACCCAGAGGTGAGATCCAGGAATCTCCTAAAGCCACACCAGCGAAACGACACTTGATTTGATTGAGCTGGACTGCCTGTGAATGGAATCATACATCAATACCAATAGAATCCAACAGGTTTCTACTCGAGTGATATCACCATCACTAGAACAACCTCCTCCGTTTTCCCTCTCATTTATCCAGCTCCCCTTCAATGTATCAATCCTATTCCACCACCACTCCCTGTGGGAGAGAGTTCCACATTCTCCCCATTCTCTGGTCAAAGAGATTTTTCCTGAATTCACTCCCAATGGAATTTTAGTGACCATCATGTCTTGGTGGTCTGTGGTCTCCGGTCTCCCCCACTAGTGGAAATATCTTCTCCACATCTACCCTAACAACCCTTTCAAAATCTCGAAGGTCTCAATCAGGTCCATCTTCAGCTTCTCTTTACCAGAGGAAAGAGCCCAAGCCTGGTTGGCCTTTCCAGCTTTCATTTTTGTACAGAGCTTTTACACTTCACCCACTTTCACTACGTCCTTGGAATAGGACAGAGCTTTGAGACAGATCAAAATATTCCTGGTGCAATCTAATCAACGTTGTATACAAATTCAAAATAAATTTGGTTTTTTTCCATGCTATCCCTGAAGAGATTAGCTGTGTTATGTTTGAGTTTTTTTAGCGGTTTGATTAAGTTCTATTGCTACTCTGATTTGTCTGTGTTGAGCTGCAAAACCTGCTCTTCTTTCCGCAGCTTAGGAAATTTGACATGTCCTTAAGGACCCTCACCATTGAAAGCATACTGTCCGGGTGCATAACGGCCTGGTATGGCAACTGTTCTGCCCAGGATCATAAGAAATTACATTGGGTGGTGTGTACAGCCCAGACCATCCATGGACTCCATTTACACGGCTCGCTACTGCAGTAAGGCAGCCATCATCAAAGACCCATCGCATCCTGGTAATGATCTCCTATAACTTCTCTGTCAGGCAGAAGATACAGAAGCTTGAACACACACACCAACAGCTTCTTTCCGGTTGTTATCAGACTGTTGAATGGTCTGTAGCCTCAAATAATGTAACCTGCAGTGTAACCTGTATGCCTCCAAGTCTTTTTGATCTGTACATCCTTTGCTGTGATCTGCCTGAACTGCTTGTAAACAAAGCTTTTAACTGTATTTCAGTACAAGTGACAATAAAATCAATTTTTTTTTGGCTTTTACCACCTGAGGATAATGTGGGCCTTCCCCTCCTACTGCAATGTACCATCTCACACATGGTGATGTTGAAATTAATCGTAAAACAACACCTATTCTGCAACTTCACATTTAACACGTTTAGCTAATACTTGGACTAAGACACACATTTTACTGACTATGCACCATCTATGCCCGGTGACCGACTGCAGAAACCATACCCCAAGGCTGCAACACTCCATGCCCCTCACTGCAAAAATACATAAAAACTGCAGCTAAAAGTAGATTGTGCTTAGTTCAATAAGATCATAAGACAAGAGCAGAAGTAGGCCATTCAACCCATTGAGTCTATTCTGCTACTCACGGTTTATCTGATAATCCTCAACTCCACACATTTCCTCAGAACCTTCGATTCCCTGCTGAGTAAAAATCTCAGCTTTTGCATTTATTTAATGACACAGCTTCGACAGCCCTCTGCGGTACTACCCTCAGTGAGAGGAATTCCTCTCATCGATCTTAAATGGCAAACCCCTTACCCCAAGACTCCGTATGTTCCAGAATACTCCTACCTTAATCAACTCCAGAGAAATACCAGCTGCCATTTTACCACCATAGGATTCAGCGAAAATGTAGAATGGAATGTTCTGTTCAAAATAAGTTGATATTTTTGATTTCAGACTTCTGACATTGGACAAATCAGAGTGACAGACACCTCTTTTTTATTCAGTCATGGACTGTGGTTGGCCAGCATTTATTGCCCGTCCCTAGTTGCCCCTTGAGAAGGTGGTGAGCTGCAGCCTTGAACCACTGCAGTCCATGTGCTGTAGGTAGATCCACAATGCCCTTAGGGACGCAGTTTCTTAAAATGGTTAGAAATCACTCAAGTCCAATTCATGCCTAATGCAAGTTAGTCTGCCTACAGTTCATACCAGAGGTACAATGTGCTCCTAAGCAGATGCACTGAAGTACACCTGTGTAGAGTTTTTAAACTGTAGATCTAGTCTGTTCATATCTCAGGCAGAATGCACCTACATACCTGACCGAGCCTTCCATCTTAAACTGACCACTCCCATGTAACAGTCAGACAATGTTTTTCAGGAACTGTGGTATCACGTCCATGCATTCTGGGCTGAATAATGGGTGCAGGGGCTAAAGGGGATCTCCCCACTGCTTCTCATACAGCTTCAGTCATATCCACATGGGTGTGGTCTCCATGGCACTATGTTGACAAGAGCAAAAAGTTCCCAGGATGCAGCATGTTAACAAATCTTCAAAGATGGGAATGGAACTGTTAGGTGAGACTGACAGTCCTTGATGTCAAGACCACATGTGACCAAGTGTGGCATCAAGGAGCCCTGGCAAAACTGGAATCAGTGGATATCATGGCAAACTCTCCGGTGTTTGGAGTCATACCTGGCACATAGGAAGATGGTCGTGGTTGTTGGAGGTCAGTCATCTCAGCTCCAGGACATCTCTGCAGGAGTTCCTCAGGGTAGTGTCCTCGGCCCAACCACCTTCAGCTGCTTCATCAATGACCTTCCCAACACAAGGTCATAAGTGGGGATGTTCACAGATGATTGCACAATGTTCAGCACCATTCGTGACTGCTCAGATACTGAAGCAGGCCATGTTCACATGCAACAAGATCTGGACAATATCTAGGCTTGAACTGACAAGTGGCAAGTTACATTCACACCACACAAATGCCAGGCTATGACCATCACCAATTAGAGAATCTAAGCATCATCCCGTGACATTCTATGGTGTTACCATCATTGAATCACCCAACAATGTTCTTGGATTTACCGTTGACCAGAAACTCAACAGGACTTACCTTATAAACACAGTGGCTACAAGAGCAGGTCTGAGTCTGGGAATACTGTGGCAATTGACTCCCCAAAGCCTGTCCACCATCACAAGTCAGGAATGTGATGGAATAGTCCCCACTTGCCTGGATGGATGATGCCCCAACAAAACCCAAGAAGCTTGACACCATCCAGGACAAAGCAGCCCTCGATTGGCACGACATTGACAAACATCCCACTCCCTCCGTGCACCAATGCTCAGTAGTACACACAGCTGCTATCTACAAGATGCACTGCAGAAGTTCACTAAATATCCTCAGACAGCACCTTCCAAACCCACAACCACTTCCATTTAGAAGGGCAGCAGATAGATGGGAACACATCAACTTCAAGTTCCCCTCCAAGCCAGTCACCATCCTGACTTGGAAATATATTGCCGTTCCTTCACGGTCACTGGATCAAAATCATGGAATTCCCTCCTAAGGGCATTGTGGGTCAACCTAAAGCACATGGACTGCAACAATTTAAGAATGCAGCTCACCCCCATTTTGTCAAAGGGGCAACTATGGATGGGCAATAAATGCTGGCCAAGCAAACAATGCTTGTATCCCATGAATGAATTAAAAAGTTGATAAGAGTTAAAGATTAAAGGAGTGTTGAATATTTGGTTTTATGAATACAAAAACATGAGTCTCACCAAACATTTACAAGTCTCTGGTTAGGCCTCAATTCAGAGTATGACGTCCAGTTCTGCCCCAACGGGCTCTTGCAAGACCCAAGAAGTAGATCAATGAGTAGGTCAATGCTGCATAAGAACCGCTTGCTGATACTGTTGAAGACACCTCCTATCACTATGCTGACGGTTGAGAGTACACGGACAGACTGGCAATTGCCTGCTTTGGCTTTTTGCTGTTTTTGTGTACGAGGCATTCCTGTGCAATGTCCCACTGTCAGGTGGATGCCAGTGTTGTAGCAAGAACAGCTTGGCCAGAGGAGCAGCACGCTCTGGTGCCGAGGAGGTTTATCAGGATGGTATGGAGATGACGAGACATTTCTTCACCCAAAGAGTGATGAGCCTGTGGAATTCATTACCACAGGAAGTGGTTGATGCTAAAACAGAGTGGGCCAGTGAGGCGGCTGCAGTTGGTGGGGAGAGTGGGCCTTTCGCATGGCAGTGGCCTCCTGGGGGTCCTAGCAATTGGAACGATGCCTGCACCAGCGGGACTCGGGACTCTTCTTTGTTGCTTGCTTACCTTTTGGCTGTTAAATATTTTAATTCTATTTTTTGTAACTAAGTGGGTGCCAGTGAATGGCGACTTAGCGCACTTTTCGCTGTACTTATGTATTCCTATAATTAGTACATGTGACAAAATAAATAAATAAATCCAAATCTAAACGTATTCAAGAGGAGACTAGATATAGGGGTGAATGGGATCAAAGGTTATGGGGAGAAAGTAGGATTAGGGAATTGAGTTGGACGGTCAGCCACGATCGTAATGAATAGCAGAGCAGGCTCAAAGGGCCGAATGGCCTCCTCCTGCTTCTGTCTTCTATGTTTCTATGTTTTATGGAAATCAGACCTCTGTCTGGTCAATCACAAGGAAGATAACGGCCTGGTGGTATTATTATTGGACTATTAATCCAGAAACTCGGCTAGTATTTTGGGGACAAATCTCACTATGACAGATGATGGAATTTGAATTCAAAAGAAAAATCTTGAATTGAAAGTCTAATGATTAGGATTATTTTCTATTATCAGGAAAAGCCCATCTGGTTCACTCATGGCCTTTCAGGAAGGAAGTTACCATCCTTACCTGGTCTGGCCTACATGTGACTCCAGACCCACAGCAATGTGGTTGACTCTCCAGTGAGGGGTGGCCTAGCCAGCAATACCCACATCCTGTGAATAACTTTTTAAAAAAATCTTTAATTTCAGTCATAGGAAGTGAGGCTCACTGGAGAGGCCAATATTTATTATCCATCAGCCTGGTACCAGATGTTTGATGTTTTAACTCATTGTACTTCCCTTGGTGAATCACTGGCAGGGCCTATCTGCTCGTTCTTTACGAAGTCTCCGTGGGACAGGGATGTTAGAATCAGGTACGTTTTGACATCTCTTTTACCCCGAGGATCCCTCCCCCTCCCACCCCTTCTTCCCAACCTAGCCCTCCCTGATATCTCCCAAAAACATGGAGTCTCTGAATGGGATGGTATTCCTAGATGTATAGCTCAGTTCCAGATGGTACTTGCTACTTGGTTACATTGAGTGGTAAAATTGACCTTGTGCTCTTCAGAGTTGAGAATATTAGAGTCATCATTGGGACATTCTAAATTCTGTGGGGTTTTGATAATGTAAATGAGAGAAGATGAATTTCCTGTTTAAGTGGGGAATGGTAGCCAGAGCACGTAGGTTTAGAATAATTAACTAAAGAATAGAGAGGCTAGGGGAATTCACAAGGAAGTAATTAAGATTTGCAATGAATAAGCTGAAAGGGTGGTGGCAGCATGGAACACAGGGGCTTTCAAATTGAAGAGAATTGAGTTGCAGGGTTACAGCCAAAGAGGCAAGCTGGGTTCGAGGGGAGAGACCCCGAGAGTGGGAAGTGGAGTAGGAAATGAAAACAGATCAAACCAGGAAAGACAACGATCCACACAAGGAACCGATTGGGTATCTTGGAACCACTCCGGATGTTTAGTCCCCGCTCACTGGGGCAAAATTTATAGCCAAAGACAACATTTCCACAACAGAAACCATAGTGACATTACCTGGAATTCTGGCTTCATGTTGAAGAATTCCTTCAGCAGAACCATCATGTCTGTTACAATCATGGAGAGGTCTTTGGCGAATGCTTTAGCATCAGTGGTGTAACTGTACCCAGTACCCACGGGATTATCTACAAACAGCAAACTGGCAGCTGTCACCTGTCACAGGAGAAGGGACAAGAGGACAGGATTTTAAAAGCTAGCCTAATGGCAACCACATAACCTTTGTGTTGTAAAAACCCATCTGGTTCACTAATATCCTTCAGGGAAGGGAATCTGCCAACCTTACCCAGTCTGATCTGTATGATTCCAGACTCACAGCAAGGGGGTTAACTCTTAATTGCCCTCCAAAAAGTGATTCACGAAGCCACTTGGTTCAAGGGCAATAAACACCAGCCTTGCCATCTCACAAAAGAATACTCACAGGTCAGGCATGGCCAGGGAGGTGGCACACTGCCTGCGACATGAACAGCATACACTCTAACCTAAAGATGGAAAATCAAATACTGGGGGTTAAACTTAGTCAGGGTGTAGTCAAGGATTGCGCTCAGGAGCATTCCTTGCAGAAGCTCAGAGCAGAAAAAGTACTTTTTCCACCCTCAGGCGACTGTGTGGAGTTTGCACATTCTCCCCGTGTCTGCGTGGGTCAGAGTCCAAAGATGTGCAGGTTAGGGTGGATTAGCCGTGCTGAATTATCCACAGTAGTCAGGGATGTGTAGATTAGGGGAATGGGTCTTGTTGGGATGCTCCAAGGGTCGGTGTGGACTTGTTGGGCCGAAGGCCCTATTTCCACACTGTAGGGATTCTATGATGATGATTCTGAAACAAAACAGAAGGAGTGGAGGAGACCTGGTTGGAGCATCCTTCTCTGCCACCATCTTGTCCCTTGTTCTAAATAGTAAGATGTTTTGCTACAGTTGTGCAGAGTGTAAGTGAAGCCAGCCCTGGAGCACTGTGCATTGTTTTATTCTCCTATTTAAGAACGGATGTAAACATTTTTGAATCAACTCAGTAGGTTCACTCACCTGATAGCCCCATCATACCAGGTATCTTATGAGAAGCTGGAGCTGACCTCATTGAAATTTAGATTGTGATCTTATTGAAAATACAAGATCCTGAGGGGACCTAGCAGGGTGCAAGCTGAAAGAATGCTTCCCCTTATAGAAGAGACTAGAACTAGGGGCACAGTGTGAAAATAAGGGGTCTTCCGTTCGAGAAGAAGGTGAGGAAAATGTATTTCCTCCCAGTGGGTCACCCTACCCCCACAGAGCACTGGCAGCTGGACCACTGAATACGTTTAAGGCAAATTCCTTCAATAGTCAGGAATCTGCAGTTATTAGCTGGATGCAAAGTGGAGCGGAGGCCAAAGCTGGATCAGCCATGAACTTGCTGAAAGGCAGAAGAGGCTGGATGGGGAGAATGGCCAGCCCTGCTTCTAATTCAGAAACAAAAACAGAAATTGCTAGAAAAGCTCAGCAGGTCTGGCATCATCTGTGAAAAGAAAGCAGAGTTAATGTTTCGCGTCAAGTGACCCTTCCTCAGAAGGATGGTCATTCACGTGTTTATTGGCATCAGGAACAAACAGTGAAGGGACCATGAATGAGGTAAAGATAGTGAACCGATTAATTTGTCCATTTTGAAAACAAACCTTACCCACGAGTTGTTCCTGGGATTCAAATCGGTGTTGAGGGGGCCAATTTCTTTAAAGTTTCCAAATCCACAGCCAGAGGCTCCTGGGCCACCCTTTACAGGGACAGGGATAGAACAGAGAGCACAAATAAACCAGAGATGTTTCCCTACACAGCCCCAATCTCTCACCAATCCCTCCTGTCCCATTTTAAACACAGCTCCCCCTGCCACCAATTCACCTCCCAACCCCCCACAAGTCACGTCCCCACAAACACCCCCAGCCCCCCTTCCCCTAAATAACACCACCCTTCTCCCCAAACTCCCACTCACCACCCCCACCAACCCTGGCACTGGCACTGGCCACGGCCCCAGCCCCCAGCCCCCAGCCCCCAGCCCCCAGCCCCCACTCCCCTGCCCCCACTCCCCTCCCCCCACTCCCCTCTGCTTGCCCCCTCCCATTACCCCTGTTCCCATACCCCCCCCCAACCAGTCCTTAGTTGGGAAGCAGTGTTACCTGTAGCCACATAACGAGAGGCAAGGCGGTGAAGTTTTCAGTTGGACTGTTTGCGTAGTAAAGCCACCAGAACATGTTAGCATCCTGACGGATGGAGACATATCCCCAAGCCTCTTTCCCAGGCTCTGGGGCACTGCCAGCTGTGTACAGAGACAGAACGACAACTAATGGAATGGCCACTCAGACTGTGAGATACTCCCAGGGGCTGTGGGTGGGGTGGAGTGTGTTTGAGGGGTGGGGGGGGGGGGTTAGTTGGGGGAATGAGGAAGTGAGAACGTGTCTGTGATTTATTGAGGCGGCTCTCCCTTTCCCTACCTCCCTACCTCCCGACCCCTCTCATTCCCCCCCGCCCCCCGGGGCACTGGAGCCGGGATGAGTTTGGGTGGGGGGGGGGGGGGGGGCGGAAGATGGGGAAGTGAATGTAAAAGTATTTGTTGTCCCGAGCGGATCCTTTTGGAAATCAGGGACAGTTCTGCAGCCGGGACACACCCAATAACCCCGACCCAGAGCAGGGTCAGGGGGCCTGGAGACAGGAGCATCCCGACGGTGGGGAATCCCATTCACACTGACCTGCCACAGCGGATCCCAACAACAGCAGCACCGCCGCTCCGAGCCTCCCCATGCTGGAGATCATGTGACCCAGACCACGCCCTTTCCTCTGGCCCCGCCCCCGCCCCCTGCCCCAAACCCCGCCCCTGTCCTATATTCCACCCCGCCCCCTGTCCCAGACCCCTCCCCCTGGCCCCAGCCCCTCCCCTGCCACAACCCAAACCCCCGGCCTAAACCCCTCCCCCTTCCCGTATCCCTTCCCCAACCCATACCCAACTCCCTGTCCCAATCCCCACCCCCTGCCACAAACCCCACCCTCTGTCCCAAACCCCTCCCCCTGTCCCAAAACCCTGCCCAAACCCCACCCACTCACCCAAACCCCTCCCCCTGTCCCAATCCCCACCCCCTGCCACAAACCC